AAAAAAACGACTTGTACCTTGTGTGCTTCGGGTCCTGCTGTGCTGGGCGTAAATCCTGGTGCTTCTGGACCTTTTGAAGCCAATAAGTGAGCAGAGGGGACCTTGTAGATCATGTCCATGCGTTCATAAGCAGGACTGCTGGTGGTTCTGGGGATGCTGGGTGTCTGGTAGATATTTTGCACACTGTCATCAGTTTTACCATGAGTCGACCTGAGCACTTCATGCACTGCTGGTGTCACCATCTGCGGTAAGAGCTTTAGTCTGTTTGCAGGTGCCAGGCCATGCCGTCCATACAGAGAGCACATCCACCACCCGCTGGTCCCAGCCACGTTTGGATTTATCACTGTGAGGATGTCGCCCTTTCTAAAGGCCAGTTCATCTGGACACTCTGCTGTGTTGTCATACAGAGCCTTTGCTAATTGGTTCTTAAGAACAACAAAAAAAGAGAGACAAATGAAATAAGGGTTAGAAGGTTGCATGTGGTACTACCACACAGGAAGTAGGCTGTGGTCACGTATAATGGTATTTCCTCTTGCAAAATGTGAGTCGAACTCAGTCGTCAGACTCACAGGGAAAAAAATCATAACCCGATTGAAGGTCTAATTCTTCAGTGGCAACAATGCCAAGCTCAGCTGCAAACCCTACGCTAGCCATAGTCCTGTGTTTTAGGAATAAGTAAAAAATACTGTTAACAGCTTCTGATATGCATCACTTATACGTGCGTTTTGTTTCCTGATTACCAAGAGTTGGAAAAGAAACTAAGATGACTTGTTATGATGGAAATGGTGAAGGTCAGGATTATTACCTGTAATAACTTAGACCTCAGAGATAAATTAACTTGTTAACTTCTTTCAGTGACATATTTCTTTGCTTTCACTTCCAGATTGCACTTCCTATCGAGAGAAAAATAGAAAAGCTTCCTCTTGTGGGCGATAGATTTTGCTAGACTTGTTTTGAATCCCAGTTGCACTTTCTAAAAGAAGAAGGGCTGCTGGGTGTTGTGAACGTTTTGTAGTTAAAACACTGCCAAGCATTGGTAAGCATTGGTAAGCATTGGTAAGCATTGTTAGCCATCGTTAGTTCTCGATTCCATAAAAGCACCCAGCTCTTCTATGTGTGACATGTGCATATATAACATGTGGTGTGTGAGAGTTTCTTGCAGCTGAAGCCTTGTTTTCTGTGGTAGCCGTGTTGTGGGGAGACATTCAGTATGAGAACACAGATGTGACACACACACACACACACACACACACACACACACACCTAAACCAAAACCAGTGGGCAGTGTTGAATGCATAGCAAATAGTGGTATGGTGCAGCCACCAACACAAAAGAGGACAGAGAGTGCAGGCACTAACTTAGCTCATAACTCTGTTTTCAATTCTTGTGAATATCGTGCATATCAAAGGTTTTTTTTATCTCTAAATTTAATTCACTTCGACAATTTTGAAAGGAGCATGGAGAGCCAAACCACTTATTTATAAGCAAAGACGGGGACATTGCTACTGACATTATTGGGTTGTGTCTTAAATCACGTTTTTAAGACTCGAAGATTTTAAGCTGAAAGATTTTTTTAAAAAGACGTGTGAACAGTGTTGGGAAGGTTACTTTTAAAATGTATTCCATTAC